AATATGAGAATAGGTTTAAGATGTTACCTTGATTGTTATGTAGCAATAACAATCCCAAATCTCCTTGTATTGACCTTAGAAAGCTGAGAGTCACAAATGTCACTCCTCTAATGGTTCACAAATACCATAAGCAAGAGGATGAAGAGGAGAGAGGATGGAGGCTGCCCAAAACCATCTACTAACCCTAGAGAAGTCTTAGCCACGTTTTTTAGCCTTAAGGGTTCTATATATAGTAAGGTAATTAGGGTTATCTAACAAGGAAACCCTAATTTGGATGCTTAAGCCCTAAGCAACCCATGGAGCACTTTTCCTCAAGGCCTTGGATGATTTCATATGGGCTTCCCCCATAGAATTCGTCCACCTTATCATATAAGGCACTCCATGGCCCAAATTGTAATTATCTTATAATTACAATTCTAGTCCCTTAAGTTTAATTAATCTCTTTTAGTCACAAAACTAATTACCAATTAACTATTGACTAATATTAATTAAACAATATGATTTCTCCTTTAATATATTATTCTCATAATATATTAATAAATCATATTTAATCCTTTCTCTCCATAATTCATCCTATCAAGTTGCTTTGGTGAAGGCAACCCAAAAGGACCATGCACCATCGGGTCAAGTACATACCAAAATAGTTATGGACTTAGACATTAATCCAACAAACTATGGATTAGGAGAGGTTTAGAGAGAAATGAGAGAGAGAGAGAGAGAAGGGTTAAGGTGTGAGGAAAAGTAGTGAACTTCGCATGTTATCTATAGGAAGCCTCATCCTCGGTACGCTGGGGGTTCCTCGAAGGTACGTTGCGCGTTCCCTTTATGCTACACGTACAAGGGCTACACTATGCATATGAGGGGGCACGTGTTGCGATCAGAAGCGAGTCCACAGGGAGCAAGAATAGGGTGTGATTTGGCCACGTCACCCATCCTCGTAACAACTCATTCCCGACTCAAAATTATGTACCTTTCACATACTAGCTCTCTTTTCGACGCTCTTTATAATCATGCGTAGGTGGTGACTTAATCTAAAACTTTCGTTTAGACTATATCGGCTAAATTTGACTTTAGTTTTAAAGTTATATTTTAACAAGCCTGTATAGGCAAAGTCTGTTAAAAATTCATAACTTTGTCATCTGATGTCCGTTTTCGTCTGTATTTTTATCGTCGAGCTCTTATTAACGATATATTCGATTATCATTTAGATTGTGTTGGGTAAAGTCGGTCGATCTAAAATTCGAATTCTAGGTTGTGCACTACTATACTAAATCTTGGAAAAATCATAACTTTCTCATACGAAGTCAGATTTGGACGTTCTTTTTATGCACTTTCTTAGTTTAACGTATACTATGATTTTTGTTTAGATCGCTAAGGCTATAAAGTACTTTATCGAAAACTTACTTCTTACGTCATTCCGGTTTTGTCGTGAAACTTTGATATTTCATAACTTCTTCGTTATAATTCGGATTTCGGCGTTCTTTATATCTCCGGAATCTCTGTCATGCCTACTTCAACTTTTTTCATAGATATTAGGTCTATCTAATATTTTATTTTTGATGCTTATTTTTGTAATTATTTTATTACATCGTTAATAGCAAGTATAATGCACATAAAACCACATAATTCACATAATACTCAAGTAATTCCTCTTTATTACTTCAAAATTGGTTACAATTGTTGACACTAACTATTATATTATAATAATCATGATTAGCTCGAAACACAAGCGTTACAATAATAGACTCCAATTCTCGTTTCTCTAATCATTGACTGTATTTGAAAATCAAAACCATTTACCACTTTAGATTCTGTAAATGGGTTCCTTTTAGTCATTGAAGCTTTGAAGTTTTTTTGATCTCATTAATGAAGGGGCCGTAAACATTTGAGGTGCCGAGAAAGGTCCAGTTGCTTTCGGGTTGTGGGAAAGATCACCTCTTGGTGTTAGTGTGTGCCCAAAATCGAAATTGAAATTTAAATTATGTGTACCTAGAAAGGGAATTGAAAATGATTTATCCTAAAATTTGTCCAGAAACTTGAGGAGTTTGTGGAAAAAATCTAGAAACATGAAGTCATTATGCTTGGGGTGTGTGTCAAGAATCCAGAAATTTGATGGGTTTGGTCACGTGTGTCTGTGTGTTTACGAATTTAGACAAACAAAAAAAACTCAAATTTGTGTTTCTTCAAGAAAATCAATTTTTCATGTTTTACAATTCATCGAGGTGTTTTACTTTTACCAATTTATGCATAATCGATTTTCCGTATGTATGTACGAGTGATTTACATGTATTTGAAAGAAGTTCTAGTTATGGGGAGAGAGAGAGAGAGAGAGAGAGGCCCAAATTAATTAATTATTTTCTTTTTCATTTAAATTAAATAGAAAAAAAACATTAAAAAATATATATCAAACGGACATTATAGTCATTTCAGTTTACCGAGAGATCAAAAACGTAACGAAACTAACCCAAAACGACCATAAAACCAAAAAAGTCGAGGTTTAGACTAAAACTCAAATATATATATATATATATATATATATATATATATATATATATATATATATATATATATATATATATATATATATATATATATATATATATATATATATATATATATATATATATATACCAAACCATTTTTGCAGTTTTATGTTGGTGATTGATTGCACATACAGTAGAAATTTAGTTTTCAAAGATATTGCATTTTTTTAAAACTAATTTAGAGATGACTTTTAAGCGTTGTTAAATTTCTATTGCTAACCCTTGGCTAATGCTGAAAATCTTGTGATAGGTAAGCCACAGGAGGCCATCTGTGAGTATTCCATGTATTCCATGAGAGAAATTAAATATCCTTCTACCATTTGTTGTTACTTTTCCTCCTACCATATCAAATGTTGACAAGTGGATTAAATGATTATTAATTTCATTAAATGTTTAATTAAATGTGATACATGTCAACATTTGATATGGTAGGAAGAAAAATAAGAACAAATGGTAGGAGGAAATTTAATTTCTCATTCCATAAATCATAACTGATTCGTCCACTTAACTTCGAAAATGGGGTATTACATTTTGTGGAAAATGAAGGATAATGTTTGTTGCTAAAATCTGTGTCTCTTTAGTGAAAGTTTAGTAGGGATATCAATGGAAGCAAACGGAACGAAGAGTGCATCCCGTATCCTCGCTCCCGAAATTTCTCCGTTCGCCCCGCCGAATCCCCTTTTAAAAGTATCCTACATATTTTGCAGAATTGGACGTTCCCCCTTTTAAAATGCAAATAAAATGTTCAATTTTAATATATCTAAAGAGTACTATAAGGGGACAAACTTTTTTAAAAGTATTATTTGCACCTAATGCAAAGCGACGTCATATATAGAAACAAATCCACCAATCACGGCCATTCAAAAGATCGCACTATCGCTCATGTAAAAAGGGACAAAATAATAATAATAATAATAATAATAATAATAATAATAATAATAATATTATGTTGGCGGTTTTAATTTCTTCTTTTTACCATTTAACTTTTCGATTTTACACGTAGAGAGATTAGAAAAAAAGAAACATACATGTATTTTCCATTTGCTTAGCTTGTTAATTATTATACCATCTGGTATCGTGATGACGAGTAAAGTCGTGGTCTACGTGCCCACAAAAGTTCATTGTGAACACTATCTCGGCATTTTGTGGTCGGCCGTGGTCTTGCTCAATTGTGCATCAGACGACGAACGTAAACGGCCAATAGGGAAAGAGGAGGAATAGGGCATACCTTGGGTTCTGCGATTTGAGGGAAAGAGAAGATCAAAACTTTTAGAAATTATCAGTTTCAGTCCTAAGATTTACGCATATTAACAAAACTTGCCATATTTTATTGTATTTTTGTTTTAAAAAAAATTTAAAAAATGATGTGAAGTGGGGTTTAGTGGTGGATATCTCATACATTTAGTGATGACGATTTGATGCCCACCAATATAGTGGTTAGCAGTGGATTTTACGGATCACCTTACATGTAAAAAGATTGACAACATTTTAGAACTATTTTCACTAATAAAGATGAAAAACTTATTTACGTCTTTTGTAGAAATAAGATATCAAAAACCACCCATATATCTAACTTTATTCCACTTTTCCATTATTATTATTATTATTATTATTATTATTATTATTATTATTACTATTATTATTATTATTATTATTATTATTATTATTATTATTAGTTGTTATGTTTGTTTCTTTTACATATATCAATCTTAGGGCATACACAGTTCATTAATATCTAAAAAATTTAATGAATTGTTAGCATTTTATTTTTCATTCAATTATATTTTTTAAAATCCATATTTCATTAAATCTTATAAAGTTCGACGGATTTCCATATCATCCTCATTTATCTATAAACATAATTATGAATTTAAAATTAATGTATAATATTTCGATTAATATAATATTTTATCAAAATTAGTATTTATTAGCTTTGTAAGGGATATATTTCTTTTACAATGGGCTTTTATTTTTAAATATCACGATATATCTATTTATTTGAAAATTTTTGACATCTAAAAATATGATATATTAAATAATATAATGGTTCATTTTATTTGTGGTTTAATTAAAAATAATATAGAAATCAAATATAAAAATAATAATAAAATATAAAAAAAATTAAATCAATTGAAATGATCATACAACTCTCGCATTCAATGATGATGACCCACATTTCATTCAACTTCTATTGAATCTTAATAATTTTTTGCTCAACCCCTATTAAACACTCATTCACATTGTGGATGTTCTTAGTTTCAATTGTGGATGCTATTAGTTTGAGTTATATCCAATATTGCATGTCAAAGACTACAATATTATCATATTCTATCACAACAAGAACCCATGATGTCATGATAACCCTCAACTTTATTTGCATTATTTGTACAAATGCAGCAGTCATATCAAATCAGAGATACATAAGAAGTTGGTAGCGATCATTTTATAGATATTCCCATGGAGCCAGCCGCTAGCCATCATTATTGGCGTTTCAAGCCCCACATATTGATGGTTCTATGTCAACTTGGGTACACGTTTCTCTACTTCATAACAGAGGCCTCATTCAAGAATGGCATGAATCCGCATGTCTATGTAACTTATCGGCATATTGTTGCTGGTTTTGTTATGTTCCCTTTTGCCTATTTTCTTGAAAGGTAAAAGTCAATGTTAGCATGCATGTTTGTATCATTATATATCACTTTTTAGGACATAGCTGGTTGGACATAACCGGATTGAATTGGACTCAATTAGATAGGAAAAACTTTATAAGCGATAATCTTGAAGATAAAGATGAAGGTATTAACGTCTTTTCCTATTCTAGGTGTTCTAACTTTTTGGATGTGACAAAAATTGTAATTTTATTATATTCCATTGTCCAAAAAGGAATACATAATTTCGTGTCCTGCATTACATAACAAACTGTGCCATAAGAGACTGAAATAAACCAACCCAGTTTGATGGCTTCTTGTTTATTGCAGAGATAAGAGGCCAAAAATGACATTGGTTATATTTTTGGAGATTTTCCTTCTCTCTTTTTTAGGGTAAGCTCGGCTCAAACTGATCAGCAACATATTTGGATTAATCGCTTATTTTTATTTCTTGGACTACGAATTAAACCAAAACAGACCAAAAAACACAGAGACATAGTCGAAAGAACTTACCTACATTTTTTATTATTAAAGAAACTGAAGTATCATAGTCACTTTGATTTTCTTGATTAAACCAAAACTAAGTACATCAGAGTATTTTAATCACGTCGTCTTCAAAATATACATATTTTCTCAGTTGTTTAATGTTTTAAGATTCTTTTAGTGAACTTTTTGCTATCAATCTGTATAAACTTTTTACTATATTATATATTGAGTAATTCAACAAATTATATAATTTCTTCATTCTTGGAGTTTGACTTCAACAACTTGATGTATTCAGTTCAAATGCTAGTCATCGCTTTATACAACAAAAAACCGAAAAAAAAAAAGAAAAAACTAAAAACATCGAAAACCCAAAAATTGATTCTGTTGAACAAAAAGATGTTACGTATCCTGTATTAATCGCAGGGTGACATTGACCCTTAATATGTACTTCACAAGCCTTCGATGCACCTCCCCAACGCTCGTTGCATCAATGGTCAACACCATTGCTTGCCTAACATTTATCATTGCAGTTATACTAAGGTACGTAACATCGGTTGCATTTATTACATCACACAAGTCTTGATAGGATCATAGGACACAATAAAATGGAGAGAAAAACCACGTCCCACGTTTTTTGTTGGAAAAAATATTGCAATATTTTTTGTCCCATATATTGATGTCAATGTGGTCCCGGTATAAATGTCAAAAGCAGTAAAATCTTTTTTGTTATCCTATCGAGCCATGTGTTCATGTAGGTTGGAAGTTGTTGATCTCCAAAACCCTCGAGGAATCGCAAAAGTAGTTGGAACCCTAGTTTCATTGGCTGGTGTAATGACCATGACTTTGTACAAGGGGCCCATTATGCCGAGCCTCGGTCATTCTGCCATCCATTTTACACAAACCACAGTGATTCAAGAAAATTGGTTAAAGGGTTCGGTTCTTACAGTCGCCAGCTGTCTAACGTGGTCTATATGGTACATAATGCAGGTTTCTATGTTATCTTCGCTCCTCTTTATTTATTTAGCTTTGATTTGTCCCCGATAGAAGTGTTATATTGGTAAGGAAGGTGACAATCCATGAGAGATTGATGCCATATTCTTCAACGTGACACCAGTTTAATTTATCGATTCTTAACTCTTTACAACTAGGCTATGACACTTTATTTTTGTGGTAAATTGTAAAGGCATATACACTGAAAAGATATCCTGCACAACTTTCACTTACGACATGGATGAGCTTTCTTGGAGGAGCACAATCGGCAGTTTTCACATCGATGATAGAACATAAAGGAGTTGCTTGGAGAATTGGGTTTGATATTGATCTATGGTCAACGATATATGGAGTATTCACTTGAACATGATTTAATCAAGTTTCGATTTAGATTTAATGATTGAAATATAGGAAACTTACTATGCATATTGCAGGGCATAGTTGTCTCTGGTTTAATTGTGTACATGCAACTTTGGTGCACCAAAGAAAAAGGGCCGGTTTTTGTGACAATGTTTAATCCACTTTCAACGTTGTTAGTGGCAGTTTTGGCGTACTTTGTTGTTGATGAGAAACTTTACACTGGCAGGTAAATAAGACAACACAAACATATTGTTATGTTTGACATGCATTGAGCTTGATGTCAATGAGATAAAATTGCAAAATTATGTCTCTAAAATAGGTGGAAGGAGGGACAAAGACCCACTCTTGAATCTTGATATTTCACTGTGGATCTTTCATCTATATAAAGAACTTAATACCTTTCACACCTCATAAAAAAGTTTATATATTGTTTGTTGGATTTTGCAGCATAGTAGGGGGAACGGTTGTTATAAGTGGTTTATACATGCTACTATGGGGAAAGGAAGGTGACAAAGAAGAGCAAGTTTCGACAATCGAACATCAATATATAACACATGAAGTAGACCAAGAAGACCCGAAGAAGTGAAAGGATTTCGACTTATTAGAAAAAGACGTACTTTTCACTACTTTTATTTATTAGATGATAAGAAACATAAACAAAAGGGATAAAATAATGAAAGGGTTTTATAATATTCTCTCTAAACATAAATTTCTTACATCAAACTACTATCATGTCTCTAGAAATCAAAACAACAAAAGTACTCAAAGAAAAAAAAAATACAATTCATTTACAAATTACAATGAGAGATTGGACATAACACTATGCAACTAGACAAGCTCTATAAGGTTAGTTTCAATGAAGAAAATAAGGCGCACATTTACATATTTGTTACATAAAAAGCGACCGAAATCAGGCTTAATATACTAACATATATAATCATCTTTATGATTGTATTGTACGAATACTTGATACCCGAACACTTTTCCTCATAGTATAATTCTGTAACCCAAAATGGAACTTAATGAGATGGTTTATATATCTTTTTTTTGAACAACTAACACACACCCACTAAATCCTACTTTTAAACTACTTATTTTGTTCACCATAGAACTTGAACCCTCAATCTTTTGGGGAGTACACACAGTACAAGAAAAGTCTATTTTTGTGGCCACCTAAAATTTGTTCACTAACATCATCATTTAGTGGTAAGATATTAGGTCGTCACACAGTTTAGATAGTACTACAAGTTTAATACATCTTGGGTGTCGCTTACATAACTGTCCTTTTTAAGCTTGTGATTAGTTTACCAAGTAGGTGGAAATAGAATTTATATTTTATAATCAATGAACCATTATAAATTCAAGCATATTTTAACTTTGAGGGTCAATCACTTTATTTAAGGGGCCACTACTATATTTTTCTAATTTTTTTTGGATAAACAGGCATAATAATGAATTTGGAGCAAAGTATTTAAAGGATATCTGTAATTGGAGTATCCCTTACAAGGATATCATAAAAGACCAAAAACACAAACCTAGGGTTCATGAAAGGAAAGCATTTTTGGGTCTATAATAATAAGTCACTACTAGAACATGAGGGGTTTTGCTACAAAAAAATAGGTACGGAATTTTTTCGTAGGTAATTACCTACATAATACATACATAATGAGATGTCAGGTATTACGTTGTAATTACCTACGAGATAAATACGGAATAGCAACATAAGTAAATCAATGGGTATTTGGTATGTAATTAGCAAAAGAATAGCTACGAACTATCAATAGAAGAGAATAGCTACGAAATTGCGATGGATTTATTATTATTATTATTATTATTATTATTATTATTATATATATTAAAAATGTGTATTCTTAGCTACATAATTTGGGTTGTCTTTTTTCAAAATTCCCCCTTCTATTATGCTCTTCTTGCGCTTATATTATGTTGATGTTGTCGCCACAAACAGTCTAGATATGGATATTTATCTGCATTGTAACTAATACGTGTCATTTTTTTATTCCTTCTTCCATTGTAACCGATACACGTCCTTCCCACCGCCTCCACTACTTCCTACTCCTAACACGGTGTCCTCCACCATTTCTATTCCCCAATAACATTACTCCACCACATCTCGCACCACCAATGCCTCGATACCTGAATACTAGATGCGTTCAAGCTGTGTTCGTCAATTGTGCTTCCCACCCCACCGCTTCTTTTCTGTTTCTTCATCGAATTCTTTTGTTTCCTTCATTCACCGCCGTTCAATTTAGTCCCGGTTACTTCCTCCGATCTCTATCTGTGTCCGACCACCATCAACAAGAGGGGAAGGACGGTTACGAAGTCGATTATCTCCGCCGTAGACAAACCCTCTTCATTGTTGAATGAAGCAAAAGCATAGAGACCTGTCCATTCGTTCCTTTCAACCTCCATATTGCAGCGAATGAGATCGATTTTAGTTCCGAATTTTAAAATCGAACACACACACACACACATCAAATTAAGTAAGTCAATGTTATTTTCAATATCAATCAGAAAGAGGGAAAGCGAAAAGCAGGATCGACTAAAAATGGGTTACTTCTTTTCCTTTATTGAATTATTGCACTATCTTTTTTAGGGTCGATATCCAAAGAAGGATGTCAGGTTCTTCTTTTCTCAATTTCTAACTACCAATCGATATTTATTTTCTATTGATTTCATACCATTACGTTTTTCTTCTTTCCCAGGTTCGACTCTTATTTACTGATTTCATGTAAGCTTTTGTATGTTAAATAGGTAAGCACCATTTTAAGTTGCTTAATCTTGATTGAACCCTGATTGGTTACTTTTCCTGAAATTCGGATGGTTTTCAACCCGTTGTGCAATATCAGATTTTACTGGTAATGTTGGGGCTGCAGTTGTTAGCAAAAAATAAGGCAACTCTTTGGATAGATGGGGAATATTTTCTCCAGGTTTATCTAATGCTCTCAGTTCTTTACATTGCAAGGCTATGACCATTACAAGACATGTATGTTTGATTGTTTCTTCTTTTGATTTTCATTATTATTTTCATTTTTAGGCAGAGTAGCAATTAAGCTCGAGTTAGATCCTTATGTGTGTTGGTAACTGGGGTGTGCCCAACACTACTCCATGGCTCAATGATGTTTTAGCTCTTGGTGGCAGAATTGGTATAGATCCTATTTGATTCTTTGCTTTATAATGTATCCTAAATTTACCCATCTTTGGTAGATAAGACAAAATGATATAGCTTATAATAGACGAACTTGGCATCAATCTTGGGAATATAGACTTTGAAATGGTTGGATCTTAAAAAAAGGTTTGTTACCTTACTTCTGTAACGCCCGCAGATCCGGGCTAGTCAATTTAGAGGCAATAGGGGTCAAAAATTACTTTTTGACAAAAGGTTATTTAGAATGAATAGTCTTAACCAAGTTTTAGAATATGTCACAAGGTTTCCGTACATATAAAGAACGCCGAAATCCGAGTTATAACGAAGAAGTTATGGCCCGCCGAAGTTTTACGGCAAAACCGGCACGGCACCGGAAGACGTAAATAGTGAATTTACGATAGAAGACTTTTTATCCTTAGTAATCTAAACAAAAGTCGTAGAATATGTTAAACTAAGAGCGTCGATAAAAAGAACGCCCAAATCTGACTTCGTATGAGGAAGTTATGATTTTTCTAAGATTCGGCTTAGCAGTGTACAGCCCGAAACTCGAATTTTAGTTCGAGCGGTTTTTGGCTTACGTGAAATAAATGAGAGTTGAAGATCTCATTAATAGGAACTCAACGGTAAAAAGACAGACGAAAACGGAGTCCGTATGAAGGAGTTACGAATTCTTCGCGGTCATTTAACAGTCTAAACGCCTCGTACTGTTAAATTTAAGATCGGTCAAGAATTAGCCGACAGAGTCAAAATGAAAGTTGTAGATATTATTTTTACCTACGCGTGGATATAAAGAACGTCAAAAACGGAGGTCGTATGTGAAAGTTACGGATTTTAGAAGTCGGAAGTGTGTTGTGCGAAAATGGGTGATGTGGCACAATCTTGGCCATTGCTTTCTCCCCAAGTCTTGCCACTAGATGGTGACATGTGGCACCAAGTTCAGCCATTTTCACCCTATAAATACCACCTCTCCCACCCTCATTTTCTTCACATTTCCCATTCTTTCTTCTCTTTACTCTCTCTCTAGAACCTCTCTCTAGCCCCGAAATCCCCCGAAAAGCCTAGGGAACCTCCCTAGCACGAGGCGGAAGCCCCGGAGTGCTCGACGGCTCCGAGAAGAAGAGCTTTTCAGATCGGAAACGCTGCTCCAAGCAAAGCCTGGTTTTCTATAAAACCCGCTGTAAGTGAGCTACGCCTACGCTATTTTTAATATAGTTTTTATTTAATTATATTAACGTTATTAAGAACATATAATAAATACTTGGGCTATTATTATGGGTTATGTAAGTATTTTTTTAACGCTTATATAATAGTAATAATAGCTAGACTATTAATTAGTCTCGGCGAATAATAGACTAAAATCTATTGGTGATAATACTAGGTTTCGTCGAAGGAAATTATTTTAAAGTAAACGAAGCGCTGTCCGAGTACCGAGTCACCACCTTCTCAGGTGAGTGCATAGTCCCTTTCATGAACATGATTTTAATACAAGTATTGATTGAAGTATTAATTATATGTTTATGTGCGAGTTAATTGATGTTGCTTGAAATTCGTGTTAAAGAACATACCTGATTATATTTGATAATTTAGGATAAAGAGTAGACCTAAATTAAAAATGAGGAATATTGGGTAGTATATTCTTACGAGTACAAGTGAGTAAAACTCAGAGAATAGAAGTTAGTATATGTCACTTATCCGGGAGTATGGATTAGACATAGTCATTGTCCCTAGTCCGAGAATATGGATTAGGCATAATCATTCGTTGTTAATCCGAGAGTATGGATTAGCTATTGTCCCTAGTCCGAGAGTATGGATTAGGCATAATCATTCATCTTTAATCCGAGAGTATGGATTAGTCATTCGTCCCTAGTCCGAGAGTATGGATTTGGTAAATTCGTTCATTTCTGATCCGAGAGTATGGAGTAGGTAAAACGACTAATCTTAGGTCCGAGAGTATGGATAGCCTCGTTGCGAGGATCGACGGGGTGGGATAAGAGTTGTTTATATATATGTATGGTGAAATTGTATATTTTGTGAATTTTAAACTATATATATGGTATAACATTGTGGGATTGAAATCCCTATGTGCTCACCAGGTTTCCCAACCTGACCCACTCAGTTTATTTATATCACAGGTGTTGATATGAAGTGACATTACACTGAGAGATTTAAAGAGATGTAGACCACTAGTGTGAATAATTGTAAGTTCTGTTTATGCTTATGTTCCTGTATTAACGATGACATCCCAAATGTTTTAAAATGAAATAAATACGTTTCTTCGAAAATGTTTTAATAACGTATTTACCATGTTTTTCTAGGAACAAATTCCGCAACCTTTTTATAAAATGAAGTACTTTGATTTTTATAAAGCATAAACAAAATCGGTCTTTTCTGGCCGTGATTTTGGGGATGTCACAACTTCA